ATTTTTCCTCCTAAAAGATTTGTTTTCAATTCAATTGTACAGGTTATAGGTCACATTTAAAGGTGGAAAAAGTTCTGAAATCATCCATCTTGGTCTCATTGTTTTACTTCACAAAGACCTGGCATTTTAACAGGGTGTTTAGACTTTTTATATCCACCGTACATCATTCTGCTTCCGCAATTGTAGAACATGATGAGCTGCCTGGGGAAAATAACAAAGAAGAGATACACTCCATCAACAGAAAATTCCAGGAGAAAAGGTGTCACTGTTTTGGTCAGGGAGGATGTTTGAGATATTCATTTTTCTTGCCCAGATTTTCTCAAACAGTCTGGTTCTTGACTAGTTTTGATCCAAAAGGGTCAAAAAAAACAGTCGTGACCTGACCTGGATTGGTCTAATCTGATCCAAGCGCCTTATTAAATGGGTCAAGGCTCATTAAATGCTGCAACTTCCAAATACCCTGTACCTCATTAAAACTGATTTGTATATAATGCTTCGTTGCATTTAAAAATATATTTTTTTAAAAAGAACCTGGCTAGTCATCTGCTGTGGGTACATTCTGGGTTTTCCTCATATTAAAATAGAATTAACTTTTTTTCAAAACTGTAAATGAATTGTTTGTTCAAGAGGTGGGAAAATAAAAATGGAAAAAAAAGGTTTGCCAGATGAAAGATAGAAATAAAAAAATAAAATCTGAGTTCTGGGTGCTTTGTCTAACCTGTAGCTCTTCTGTTGTCTGCGTTAATCCGTCTGTTCAGGGGGGTCCGATCTTACATGAACGAGGTGAAGTGTCTCGGTCAGGAGAAATCCATCTGGAAATGCCCCTTTAAAAACATCTCATCAGAGGACTGTCAGCACAATGGAGGACCCCGCCGTCCGCTGCAACATACCCTACATGGGCTGGAGAACACGGTCAGAGCTGAACCTCCTTAATGTTTCATCTTAAAACTCTGCTGTTCAAATGTCAGAAAGTTGTTTGAATTGTTGAAATTAATTTAGATTACTTGAGAAAGTTGGTCTTGACTAAGTTAACTGCATCATATTTCCTTTTGCTTCCTTCTGCTTTGATTAATGTCGCATAAGGAAAGAACTTGAATAACGCCTCATTTTATACTGTTTTTTATTGTCTATTAATTTAGTTCTTTGCTGATCTAACTGTCTTTGTTCTAACGTGTGAGATTTAGAGCTAATATCATAGAAATCTCACATTTTCACTCACTGAAATATAAATTTCACTGCTGTCATGAAAAACTGAAGTCAAACCACAATTAATTGTTAAACATATTAGAGTTCTTTTATTGTTCTGAAAACAGCAATTTTGCTCATACGTTTTTCTGACAACAGTGATACTTCACTTTAACACAGAAGTATTTCTGGTTGTACAGTTTGTATTTACCAGATTATACTCGTCCATGCCCTGTACATACACACACACGGGCTAAGTAGGATAAAAACTCAAAAAAACATACTTTATCAAATCAATCAAGTCACAAAGTGTTTAAACTAAATTTCTATAGCTTATGCTTGATGTCACCTGTAAGATTTTTGAGTTTTTATCCAGCCTTGTGTATCTACACGCTGCCTTGTGGTTCCTAAACTCCTCGGCCCCGCACAGATCCGACTCACAGGGGGACGGACCCGTTACGAGGGCCGCTTGGAGGTCCTGGGTTCAGACTCTAACGGGACGGAGACTGGGGTCTGATCTGCGGAGAAGAACTGGAGCACCACGGAGGCCATGGTGGCCTGCAGGCAGCTGGGCTTGGGCTACGCTAACCAGGGGCCTGCAAGTAGGTTATTAACACCAACCAGGGCAACTTCCTGCAGCTGCGTTCACCAGCAGGTTGTCTTTTGGGATATTTGACATATGCAAATATGAATATCTGTCATAAACACTCAGTGGGCCAGTTGTTTGTGTGAGCTATAAAAATCTCAGAAAAATCTTAGTTTATTAAAATAATGTTTTTAATTCAAATCAACTTACCGTATTTAAAATATTTTCCAGGTTTCATTTTACTTGATTCTGATTCAGCCATGACAGTCTTCTCAACTTGAATTCAAACAAAGAGTGAATTTTCCTTCCTAGATTGTTTCATTAGAGGAAAGCTTTTAAATAATAATGAATTGAAGGAAAAGTATGTTGATGAGAAAGTGTTTCTTTTGATTACCTTTGTAATCAAAAAAAGGTGAATCCTGCTGCTTTAGTGTTGGACAGGCTCATGTGAGGGTTTTATACTTGGAACTGCTTATTGTTATTATTTCAAATCATCACCGAGACTCTTTCACCCTCAGGCCTGCAGCTTAGTGAACCACCCACACACTGAGTTCCTGTCATGTCGACTCCAGGCGAACAAGCTGTGGTGTGTGTTGTGATGTGTGTGTGTGTGTTGTGTGTGTGTGTGATGTGTGTGTGTGTGTGTGTGTTGTGTGTGTGTGTGTGTGTGTGTATCTATATAAAACTGGCCACTGTTGTGTGCAGTTATTTTTCCAAATTCTGTGCATATATGTTCAAATATATTTCCATTTGTCACATATTTGTAATATGTGCAGGTTGTACTAATGTTCACTTTACATTCATAATTCTTGACGTATGTAATTTTGGAATATACTTGAACATGCACGCACTAATGTATGGCAGATATATTATTATTTCCATAGTGTATAGATGCTTCTTTTCCTGCATGGAAGAACCAGGCAGTAATTTTGTTTGTTCCATGTGGCAAAGCAGCCACACATGAATTTCTAATCAAACTCAAAACCACTCACCACCAAAGCCAAAGTGTGACCTCATGTGGAAGCCATGTTAACATTCTCCTCGCCTAGAAAAGTCTAACCAATACTGCTGCTTTAACGACACATTTTCCACTGCGTGAGGACTGTGTGGAGCCCCGGCAGTTGTAGCGCAGACAGTTGAGAGACCAGGACAGGAAGTGTGTCCCCTCCACTGACTTCCCGCAGGACCTTTCTGCAGATCCGGATAGTGGCGGCCGGGAGCAATTATGAGGCCGGGTGGAGTTCAGTTGGCTCACAGTGGGGCACAGTGTGCAGCACAGGCTGGACCACAAAGGAGCCCATGGTCGTTCGAGACAGCTAGGCTCGGCTTACTCCATGCATGCCCATCACTGTAAGTAGACCGAAGAGTCTAGATTGAGTAGTTTATTCCACAATGACATGCTGACACATTTATTGTTTACAGGATTAAACCTCCTCAGATGCATTCTGTAGTTTTAAGACAAGTCATTATATTTGTATTGGGTGGTGCACGCAACACAAACAAACCTCAGAAACAGAGATAAAAATCTTTGTCTTTGCCTTTACATTCACTTTATTCTTCAAAATATATTATTAATTGCTGGAGGCCAACTGGATTTTAAGTAAAGAATAACGGTAGTTTTAATATATTATGGATTTAATGGTGCAACTTA